AGCATGTGATGTGAAAATGAAGGAATATGAAGCTACAGGAATGAATTTAAAATGTTGAGTGAAAGTCACAAAAGAACACATACACAGGGGGCTTTTAGTTTTAGAAAATTCAGGTATAGTAGGCAAATAATGGCTCCCCAAAGATGTCTACTTCCTAATCCCTGTAATTTGTGAATATATTAGGTTATATGGCAGAGAAAATTGAGGTTACTAATCAGTTGACCTTAAAATAGGAAGACTATCCTGGTTTATCCTGGAATCCTGATATTGTGCTGTAAGCACTGAACTGTTCACAAGGTTGGCAGTTCAAATCCACTAGATGTTCCTTGGAAACCCTATACAGAGTCTCTGTGAGTTGGAACTGACTCGATGACACTTAACAACAGCAACATCCTGGATTATTTGGGTATTAGGAAGAGGCAGAGAAGTGTAATCCTAAGGATCTATAATAGTGTAAGAGAAAGGCAGAAGAGGAAGAACCAAACAGATGGAGAACAAAGGACTTGACCCAACATTGCTGGCTTCAAGATGGAAGAATGAATGTATGAGCCAAGGAATGTGGGTGCCCTCTATAAGTTGAAAAAGGCCAAAAAACAGATTATGCCCCTAGAACCTCCAGAAAGAACACAGTCATGCCCATGTATGATTTTAGCCGTGTGGACCCATTTCCAACTTCTGATCTCTGGAACTGGCATTTTAAGCCACTGAGTTTATTGTTAGGCAAAAGTAAGAAACTAACGTAGGAGGCAAAACTATAAATTATAAAGTACTAAAGCCATAAAATTTTCAAGTAAATGATTATTGCAAAAATCAGTGCTTTGATTACATTGTGAGGAGGAAAAAAGGTTATGATTCAGAAGAACCATATTGGGGCTTCTGAGGTACTGAATTTATTTCTTTGAATGCATTTTGTTGTTGTTGTTAAGTACCATGGAGTCGGTTCCGACTCATAGTGACCCTGTACAGGGTTTCCGAGGCTGTAAATCTTTACGGGAGCAGAAAGCCTCATCTTTCTCCCACAGAACAGCTGATAGTTTCAAACTGCCGACCTTGAGATTAGCAGCCCTATTCATAACCACTGCGCTGTATGTGGAGTGTTTTGTGGTGTGTTTTTTATTGTATTTTCTTGCAGGTTAGTTTTATTTCAGCCTTTTAAGGGCTCAATTCTTTACATGGGCTTTGGTAGCAGTAGGGGGCAGCACCTACAGGTCTAAATTGGGGTGGGGGTCTTTGATCCTTCCAAGCTTCATGAAAATGGTTCCTGACCTCCTTGCTGTGAATGGCACAGCAGACACAATAACTACATGTACAGCTTGGGGAACACATATGCATCGAAGACACTCGCTTCAGAAATATCCCTGACGGCTGCGGCCTCTACTATGTTTCGAATTATGAACTTCTTAATGGTCTTGTCTTTGGGCACATAGTGAGCACAGCACAGTTCATGCAGTGAATAGGCTGCACATGGCAGCGGCCCTTTTTGGCACCGCTGTTGTTTCTCCTTTTCTTTGTCATCGAGGACCTGAGAGAAAGCATGCATATGTGTTTTATACAGCCTTCTACATTTATGATGCTAGCATACATTGTTTTCTAACCAGAAAAAAATTTAAGAAAAACCTATATCCATAATTATTTTTTAAAATGGCTTTAAAAAAAAAAAATCTGAAGAACACGGGCTATAATTTTCCTCTTCTACCACATTTTAAAAGGAGCTCTGCTAGTGTAGTGGTTACGAATTGGTTTGCTAACCTCAGGGTCAACAGTTCAAAACTACCAGCTGTTCCGTAGGAGAAAAATGAGACTTTCTGCTCCAGTAAAAGATTTACAGCCTTAGAAACCCTATACAGGGTCACTGTGAGTCAGAACTGACTCCACAGCACAATAACTTATTACCACCACCACCACATTTTTAGTTATAAAAATATTTCTTTCTAGAGGGAATATGGCAACAAATGTCCTTTATAAAGCAGTATTGTAGTATTACGTATAATATGATCTGTGACCCAAGTAACTAAATCACCTTCTTCATTCATAAACTTACAGCATGTAAAAAGATTACCCACAACACAAGGAAGAAATTACTTGTCTTCTCAATTAAAAAACAAAGTTTAAATGGGAAGTTTTGAGTTCCAAAACTATGTACATTTTGATTTTCATTTGGAAAGACAAGTCAAAAACTGGTAGTTTTGATCGTCATCAGTAAGTGCTGTAGATTATAACTCAATATAAAAAAAAGCAAAAATCCTGATTACAATGATAAAAAATTAGAAACCAACAAAAGAAGATCAAGGAAATAAAATCAAATACATGGAAACTGAATAACAACCTGATTAAAAGCTACTGGGAAACAGAACAAATAAAAAATGCAGTAAAAAAAATTCCTAGCAACAAATGAGAATGAAAACACAATATACCAAAACCTGTGGGACACAGCCAAAGCAATGCTGAGAGGGTAATTTATAGCAATAAATGCACATGTCCAAAAAGAAGAAAGAACCAAAGTCAACACATCAACACAACATCTCTAACAATTAGAAAAAGACTGCCAAAGTAAACCTACAGTCACCGGAATAAAAATTAGAGCTGAAATAGAAAACAGAAAAACAATAGAAAGAATAGAAAGAATCAACAAGACAATAAGCTGGTTCTTTGAAACAATCAATACAATTGAAAAATTATTGGCAAATTTGACAAAAGAAAAGAGGGATAAGATGTAAGTAACATGAATAAAAAGAATTTAACTATTAAGAGAAAAGGAGCTATAGTAGAGAAAAGAGAGGAAATAAAAGGAAGGAATAAAAAAGTGTACGTAGAAAAATACTGGAGAAGGAAGTTGAAACAGAAAAAATAGTAAAGAGAGATCAAAAGGGAAAAAAGAAGAGGAGAAATGAGAAACAGAATAAAGAAGAAAAAAATATAAGTGGAGAATAGGATAAAATCAAGAGAATGAAAAGAGAAGTAGAAGGAGGAGAAATAATAAACACCCCAAAACAAAACAAAAAACTATTCAACTGTTGAACCCAGAGAGGAGAAAATTCTGGGTGGTGCTCCTGGAAGCCAAGAAGGTCATGAAGTGCATGGGAGAACAATGTGTTATCCATATGTACAGAGCACTCAGTCTGGAAGTAGTTCATGGAGGCCCTTGATGGAACTGGTTTCAGTGTCTGTTAGCACCATAGGGCAGCTGCAGGTTGGGTGACTGGTTAAATGCTGGTCTTCAGAGTCTGTAGGTCTGAAGTCTAGCACACTTGAATCCAGGCACCAAATCAGTGCACCAAAGTGGGGAAGTAGGTCCCAACTTCACACTGGCAAGGCTCCCAACTATGTGGCTATGATTTCCTGGAGAGTAGGGTCTGTGCTGTGATTGGATGAGTGTGGGAGCTCTCCTCCCCACTGGTCACCAGGGGACTCTGGGGAATTAGAAGGAATTACACCTTTCCCATTACCTGTGTGAATCTGCTCTGCCAGACTACCCTGTTGCCAGAGCTTCTCACAAGATGGTCATGCCTCATCCAGCTGGCCATTCACCAGTTTGTTTGCCTCTCGGGCCATCTCCTCCAAGCAAGCTCTCAGTCCATTTCTCTAATCTTTTCTCTGAAGTTCAGGGTTCCCAAAATTTCATCTGTGTCTGTTTCATTCATTGCATCTCTTATATCTTTGTTGTAGAGGGTCCTTGTAGTGTGTCTGATTAGTTCACCATCTTTCTGGACTTCCATCTTTTTTTGATGCATCCTGTATCATTCAGTATTTTGCCTGTAGAAGCCTTCAGTATTTTGCCCATAGAATCTTTCAGTATTTCAATTTAAAAAAAATTTTTTTATTGAGAAGAATGCTAAATAAAATTCCCTTTTGGTTTTCTGACTCCTGGTCTTTGCATATTTCATTATAATATTTGATTATGTCTTCTTAAGCTGTCCTTTAAAATCTGTTGAGCTCTTTTATTTCTTCTATTCACTTTAGCTACTGTATGTTCAAGAGCAAGTTACAGGGTCTCGTCTGACATCATTTTGGCCTTTTCTTTTTGCTTTTTTCATGTATGGTGTCCTTGATGTCATCCCACAATTTGCCCCGTGTTAGGTCATAAGTGTTTAATGCATCAACTTTGTTCTTGAGATGGTCTCTAAATTTAGAAGGGATATATATTTGAGGTCATATTTTGGCTCTTGTTTTCATTTTATTCAGGGTCAGATTGAACTTGCATATGATAGTCCGTTTCTCAGCCAACCCCTGACCTCTCATTCTGACTGATGGTACTGAGCTGCTCCATCATCTTTTTCCACAACAGTAGCTGATTTGATCTCTGTGTATTCCATTTGGTAAGGTCCACATGTATAGTTGCCATTTATGCTATGGTAAAAAGGTATTTGCAATGAATAAGTTGTTGGTTGGTTATTCAATATAGGTTATTCATATAGGAAAGGCGAGATAAGGGTTTGATTCTTTTTAATTTACTAATTTTCAAGATAATAAATTTGTTTTCATCTTTTTTGTGTGTGACATTATAAATTCATATTGGTGGATTTTAATCCATTACTGTTTGTTACCTGTATTGTAACTAAAATAGTGTCATCTTTGTCTATAGTAAAGATGGCTCATTGTTTCCTTTATGGTATGACCCTGTTAATCTTTGTTAAAGAAAGAGACAATTATTTTTTATTTTGCATTGTTTTCTTTTTTAAAAACTGCAAAATGTTTTCTTTACCTTTGGTAAGGTGGATTTTAGGAATGTTTTTGTTCCCTTAGTAATATGATCTTTGAGGAAATATATAGGTAGGTGTGCCTTGGAACTTGTGTTTCTTGTAAAGTCATAAGGAATAAACATTTCCTACCAACAGATTTGAAGTTATATGTTAAAATTATTTATTTGAATAATTATTCACTTAGTCTCCACAGAATGCACTCTGGGGAATTCAGGCAATTATGAGGCCTGTTTATTTAACATAAGATTTCAGTAGTAAGTTGAAGGACTGATTTTTAAGTTAATTGATTTTTTCTTCCAGACCTGTCACGAAACCGCCTCTCAGAAGTTCCTATAGAAGCATGTCACTTTGTTTCTCTTGAGAATCTCAATTTGTACCAAAACTGTATTCGGTATATTCCAGAGGCAATTTTAAATCTACAGACACTAACATTTTTAAATATCAGGTAAGAATATGCCTTCCTTTTAAAAAATTTCTAGTTTTAATAGTTTTTCAGTTCTCTCTTTCATTAAAATACACCTATTTCTCATGTACTGACTATGTCATTATCCACTGTTTTGCATTTATGACAGTAGTAAAAAAAAATCTGACTTTTTTGTACATTAAGGAGGAGCTGAAACAATAAGGGAAGGAGGAAAGGGCAAGGCTTGTGAGAGAGAGGACATAAGACCACATAGGCTACTGGTGGTTGGTATTAAAAGAATTGGGTGTAGGAGTCCAGCCTGGCCTGTTGTGAGCATGGGAGTGTGTGTGTGTGCAGGAGATGGAGGTGCTAGGAGGCAGTGGGTATCAGGACTACAGGAGTTGGATGCAGGGCTGGGAAGTCTCATTTCTGATGAGGCCTTTCTGCCACCTCCACCAGGCCTAGATGGCTTAGCTGTAACCTGCCTTCAGACCTGCTGCCCAGACTTGTCTCTGGATTTGGCAGAACAGGAATGTGGAGAAATGAGGCATGGAGGTCTATGCAGAAGCCTAAAGCACAATCAGGTGATAGTGAAGCCCCCTGCTGCTCCAGAGGCAACCCCTAACCAGCACCACCAATAATCCTCTTTGTGTCTGCTGTGTAAGAAGCATCACTAGACACATTATGGGTTCCTAGATGGTGATTGATGGTGCAGGTGGAATTTGGAGACAGATGGACACTGGTTCCCCAGACAGGGCGAGGGGTCCCAACTCTGACATACTCATTTTTGTATAGCAACCTAGTCATGTTGGTGAGGAGAGGGTTTATGCATTACCTGTTACTGTCAGCAACACCTATACATATACTTGTTTATAGGCTATATTTTTAACAGTATTTTCTGTGTCTTTCTAACTTTACCCTTTATTTTGGCTTTGTAATCATTAATAAACCATGCTAGCCTTTAGCCTAATAGACTTGCAACAGTCTTATAGCAGAGGTTCTCCATTTACATTTTCATGTAAGTTTTACCAACTGAGAATGGTAGATCTGAAATTATATTTCTCTTATTTACATTTAATTTAATTTAGTAAAAATTTCATTTGGTTCTTGTTGACCATATATTTTTGTCTATTAAGTTCTGAATTTATACATATATTCAACTCCATTTTTCTTATCTTGAAAGGACTCTTGTTATTTTCTTTCTTTTTAAAAATTGTAAATGTTCATTGGTAGAAATGCACAAGTTGAGAAAATTTTAAAGGAAATTCATTAAATTGTTATATCTGAGTCATATAATTTTAAGTGATCTTTCTATTTTCCTAGGTTTCAGTGAGATTTTAAAATGAGTTTTCTCCCTAGTATGAAGTTCTTTTAGTCAATATTTTTATATGTAATTGTTTGTTGTAAGTTGATATACTTTAAAAGTCCATTTCTCATTCATAGAACATTTAATTTCTCCCACTTTTTCACCATGATAAAAGTAATAATAGTAGATGAAAGCAACAGCAGTAGAACATCTTTCTATGTAAATTTTGTTTTTGTTTTCTAAAGATAAGTTGTTAGGAATAGAATTTCTGGATTAAAACGTTGTAAAGGCTTATGTTTTACTTAAATTAAGTAAGGAAAATATTTTGAAAATGAAAGATGAAAATAAAATACATAAATAAAATTTTAATTTATTTTAATCTTAATGTGTTTTGTTATCTTACTTTTGGATCTAATATGCATAATACTTTTATATAAAGGTTCTGTACTTATAACTCAGATGGTATGGTATATTTAAAATCACAGCGTATCAGTTGTTTTCTATAGTACTCTATTTGGATCATTTATGTACTTTGGTTATAATATTACAAAGAGGGAAGTAGATTACAAACAATTTATGTTTGTGATTTTTAGGAAGAAGACTGTACAGCAGTTAGCTATGCTTTTTATAGTGTTGTGTGTTTTTTTTCAAACCAAAGGTCTCACATATTTATTAGCCAACCTCTTTAAATGCGGAAGCATAAAAATAAAGGAAGAAACCAGAAGTTTTGCAAAACATGTTCAGTTAATCAAATCTTGGTAAAATTGGACTTGCTGTATAATAGGGTGCTAGGACCTGGGTGTATTATGTGCTGCGCCGTCACATGTGCAACTCCTTAGAGACCCAGTTTGGTTCTTCTCCAGTGTCTTCTCTTGGAGTTGTATCTGGGTTTATTACCAGTTTTCATTCGAATCCACTGGGGAATGGGATGATTCTGCTTTTGTTTCTTGGCCAGGAATCTTTAGATCCTGAAAGTCTTGTGAGAAGACAGAGTGAAGATGGAATATAGGAGCACTCACACGATGGCCAAGAAAGGAAGAGCCCTTATGTCAATTTTACTTTAATAAAATAATACTATGTTGTGCTTTTATAACACTTCATTATTTTAAAAACAGTTTTTGATGTAACAGCTCTGCATTATAGGCAGGGGAGGTAGTAAGATCCTTAATTTACAGAATTTCTGTAAGATGCAAATAAGTCAAATGTATTTCCTAAAGCCACAAAGCTTACAGGCAATGAAATGAAAGCTAGAGTCCTTGCAGTACAGATATTTGTTATTTTATTGAGTTTAGAATAAGAAAATTGGAAACTTTGTTCAGTTGTGGACTCTTACTCTTTACTCTTTTTGTGTTTACAAATTTAGTCGGAACCAACTATCAACATTGCCAGTGCATTTGTGCAATTTACCACTGAAAGTTTTAATTGCTAGCAATAACAAATTGGTCTCACTTCCAGAAGAAATTGGATATCTCAGAAATTTGACAGAACTTGTAAGTAAATATTTTATTTTTGATTGGCCATCACGGGATCTGTTGTATATCCAGTTACTTTTTTTTTTTTTTCAAGCTTTTATTGTGAATTGAGTGAAAGTTTACAGGGCAGATCATCAGTTTTACATTCTACAAATCATATACTTTGTTTCATTACAATGATTATAATCCCCTCCATGTACCATCAGTTAACAGTATTTCTCTCTATTCATTATAGCTCTTTTTTTTTTTTAAACACTCAGGTATTTATAAAAATTTAAACCACCAAAGGGCACATTCTGCAAAGTCTGCCTCCTGGCCACCAGCTCTCAGGCCCTCTCTTTGAATCTAGAGTCCTCAGCTGCGCCCTCTCTCCATGTCCCCATCTCTGCCTCTATCTGTGGTGTTGCTGCTTCTGGATAGATTCATAAGAATCTTATCTCCGTCTCTTTTTACCAGACCCATCTAGACAAGATGAAAACTATTCAGTGGGAACTCTGTATTCCCCCACACACTCTTAAGTTCCCTCTTGAAAACTTGTAAGCCAGTCACTTCATGCCTCTATCGCCCCGTCATTTTAATTAGCCAATGTCTAAGTTGCCTGTCCCTATCTACCCTGTATACAAAAGGGAATAGTATTGATACTTGATGTGAAGACTCCTTCCCTCTCTGTTGGTATTTTGAGCTACTACCTCCATGAGTATAGGTCAAGTTCATCAAATTGTAGCAATTTACCTTCATTTCATTTGTCAAAAAAAATTTTTTTTTAATCTTCCTCTAATTGACTTCTGATTATCAAGCCATCATGGAGGCTAGGTCAAATGGGTACTGTCTGCAAGTTTGTGTATCTCCCCTCAATTCATATCAACTGGATGCTTCATTCTCAGCTTTAGCCCTCTGTGGCTATGTCCTTGTCCATGGGCCCAGGAGTCCCCAGGTCTCATCACAATTTGGACCAACCAGCCCTTCCTCTTCTCTCACTCATCTCCAAGTCAGCAGGAGTCTATGGAACGTGGTTGAACTCAGCCCATTTTCTTTGTTGCTGCCTTTCCCCCTCTTCCACTCACCAGCAGACCAGTGTAGTTGCCAACAAGTTTATACGCCTGCACATGTGTTCCCTTTGAGTTTCAGTCTTCGTAACCATATTCTTATATGGTTGTTGTTGTTGTGATGAGTCGATTCCAACCCATAGCGACCCTTATAGGGTTTCTGAGGAGCAGCTGATGAGCTTGAACCGCCAACCTTGCAGTTCAAACAGCTTTGCAGTCTGGCACATTAACCAGTAGAAAGCCACTAATAAGAATTTTTTTAAGTTACTTTCCAGTATTGATAATACATTTAAAAAAAAATGTTTTATTGTGAATTATATGATAGTTTACATGGGATAACATTAGCTTTACATTCATACTATTGTAATTGTTTCATTGTCATGGTTACAATCCCTTCCATGCATCATCAACCAACCAAAGGGTATACCCCACAAGCCTGCCCCTTGGTTGTCAGCACACAGCCCCTCTCTCTCTCCGGATCTAGAGTCCCCAACCATTCCATCTCTCCACGTCATTGCCTCTGCCTCCATCTCTGGTGTCACTGTTTCTCTGGGTAGGGTCCTGCACTCCGCTTTTCTCCCTTGATAGTCCCAGGGACCTCCGCTCCTGGGCTGCAAAGTCAACCACTCCCCTCCTTTTGCTACAAAACATCTACCTTTACATGATAATGCATTTTTATTGACTTATTAGTATCAAATATTAAGAAAGAACCTATGTTACAAGTCTGATAGGCTCACATGGAATGAAAAAAGGCAGAATTATGTTCAAATCAATATTGAGCACTTCTCTATTCTTAAAACTCTTAAGATATAAGTTAATAATGTGTTTGGATTTTTCAAATTATATTCTGGTAATGTCATTAATGTTTTTTACTTTTGCTTAGCCCCTGTAGGGGAGAATGAGCACTTTAAAAGTCACGTTTATATTTTTACTGTACATGCTGCCTTCAGGGACCTACTTCCACTTTAAAGTAAACTACTTTACTGGCATTTGTTTTCTTTCCTTCAGTTGAGTTTTCTGTGTGTGACTTGGGTGAAGGTCTAAGTCAGAATCAGCAGCTTTCATTCAACAAATTACACACACACTTTTTCCTTGTAACAACAGTTGTCCTACTTCCTCCCTGTGGCTCCCCATTTGTGTCGTATATTAAAAAAAAAAAAAAATGAGCAAAGCAAATATATTTGATGTACATATACAAAACAAAAAATATGTATTCACTGAAATGTCCAAAGGGCACATTCTGCATGCCAGCCTTCTGCCCACAGGTACACAGCATTACTCAGTCCATGGACCTAGAGCCTGCAACTGCTCTGTCTCTCCATGCCACCGCCTCTGTCACTTTTCTAGGTAGGAATTTCATGCCCCACTCTTTCTTCTTGATAGTCTGCTCCTGAAATGAAAGATTAACTACTCCCCACTTTTAGTTACATATCTTCTGCAATTACAGTTACAACCATCATAATCCTGCTAATAGTTACTCACAATTGAGTCATAAAATCCTTTCACTGTCAGACCCCATACATACCCTTTCACCAAATCTATCTGGAAAAGAGGGAAAGTCTTCAGTGAGGATTCTACATTAACCCCTCATTCTGAAACTAAGCACACCCATGAACGTTTGTAAACTAGCCACTTCTTGCCATTATAGCCCTTCATTTAATTTTTCATCCCTATAAACCCAGTACACTGAGGAAACAAGCTTGTTCCTTGATATGAAGAATCCTTCCATTCCATTTGGAATTTTGAGTCACCACATTCATAAGCAAAATCCTAGTTCATCAAATTGCAGCAATTTGCACGTATTCACAGTATTAAATATCTTTATCTTCCTTGGGTCAAGTTGTGGTTAACTAGCCATCTAAGCTAGGTCAAATGGGTACTAGCTGCAAGTTTGGGAGTTCTTGCACACCTACCTGCACTTCAGATCAGCTGACTACTTTATTCTTAGCCCTAGCCCCCAAGGGCTAGGCCAAGTGCTCATGGGCTCAGTTCACAAATCTTCCTAAACTTCAGATCATCCAGCCCATCCTCTTCTCTCTGTCATCTTGTCAACGGGTACCAGTGGCACATGGTCACAGTCAGCCCATGTTTTCATTGCTGCATTTCCCCCACTTACACTCACAAGTGGTGATCACCGGTGAAGTATACTAGACTGCTCATGGGTTCCCTTTAAATTTCAGTCCTAAAAGTTGGTTTTCCCTGATGCGCTGACTTTTCTTGCTTTGGTGCTTCCATAGCTTGCTTGAAATTTAAACATCCAAACAGTCTGATTTTTTGTTGTTGTTGTTTTTTGGCAGATCTCTCTTTCAGCTGTTCTGGATTGGAGTGTTTGTCTTCTCAACAGAGAATGACATATTTTCTAAGAATCCTAACTGAACTCCTTTACCTAACACTACTTGTAAACTATAAGAAACCACCTTGTAGGTACTTATGCTCTGGCAGGAAATAAAACTTTTCTGATTTAATCATTACATTAATGTGAATTAAGTGTATCTTCATTTTAGAGCTGAGGACACTTAAGTTGTTAAATGTAATCGGGTCGGTTACAACTCATAGTGACCCTGTATGGGGTTTCCAAGGAGGAGCTCATGAGCTTGAACCACCAACCTTCTGGTTCAAACCACCTTTATGGTCCACCGCTTTAACCCAGAATGCCACATATAACTTAAACGACATTAATTATATAACTGAATTAGGATTTGAAGCCAGTTTAGCTTAACTTCAAAACCCATGTTTTGTTTTGTTTTCCCCTGTACTTTTTATTGTGAAATGAGCGTAGGTTTACAGAGCAGATTATTAGTTTTACATTCAACAGATCATACTTTGCTTCATTACAAAGACTGTAATGCCCTCCATATACCATCTGTTAACTGTATGTACCTCTATTCACTTTAACTCTTACATTCCTCTCTTTGTCTCCTGCTAATTTCATCTTTCTCTGCTAACCTCCCTCTTGTATATTGCCTTTCCTGTCACCCAAGTTAACATGTGTATATTCTCTAGCCCATGAATACTTTTCCCGTCATTCCCACTCCCAGTAGCCATCCTAGAATCCATGTTTTTAATAGTCGACTTACACATTTCTGAAACTGTCAGGTATAATATGTCCCCTGAAATTTTGGAGTATAGTTCCATGTAGGTTTTATTAGCAAAAATGAATATTATAAAAAGAAAAAATAAATGCATATACAATTTAGTTGGACCACAAATTAGGTCATTTTATTTTTCCTGGTTGATTCTAATATGAGATTTCATACATAAAGCTTCACAAATACAGTAAATCTGGAATATAGATGACTAGATTCTAACCACTGTTCAGAAAGCCAATCAGACATCAGAAATAAAACCCAAATGTATTTTTGTTGGCAATTCTTCAGATTTTGTCTTAATAATATGAAGCAGTAATAGTTTGTTCTCCCTGTTCAAATTCTTACTTTCAAATCATTTAAACATTCTTTTTCAACTTATTAAATTTTAACTACTTGAAAGATATGTCTTGCAAGAACTACTTTTAGCTTTCATGGAAGACATTAACTTATACCCTTAGTCATACAAAAGGAGCCCTAGTAGCACAACAGTTAAATGCTCAACTGCTGATTGAAAGGTTGGCAGTTTGAACCTACTCAGAAGTTCTACAGGAGAAACACCTGGTAGTCTGCTCTCATAAAGATCACAGCCTTTAGAAAAGCCTACAGGGCAGTTCTGCTTTGTAAAATATTACACATAAAATTGTTTGCAACTGTAAAGGAGCAACCTCAGGTATGATTTTGTCCAATTTCATAGTTTAAAATGGATAAGATCCTTGGAAACTCTATACAGGTTCGCTATAAGTCAGAACCAACTTGATGGCATTTAACAGAAACAACAACAAAACAGTTCTCTATTTTGTATTCTTTTGAACTAGGATGTGAGCTGCAATGAGATTCAGACAATACCCTCCCAGATTGGTAATCTGGAAGCCTTGAGAGATCTTAATGTAAGAAGAAATCACTTAGTACGTTTGCCTGAAGGTAAGAAACTGAGATGATTTTTTTGACTATTATTTTTGCTTGTTTTAAAGATCTTTCAAGGAGCTCTGGTAGCATAGTGGTTACGAATCGGGCTGCGAACCGCAAGGTCAGCAGTTTGAAACTACCAGCTGTTCCGCGGGAGAAAGATGA